CATTAAGTAAAACTGAAAGTTGAATGAGTATACAGAAGACTCACATAATTTTTAAGGCTATTTAGCTTATTTCTAGTTATACCAATTCAAACGAAATCATTGGCATGCTCCACCTTCATTCAACTATTCGACAAATGTGGACCAAGTAACATTGTGAGCCTGACTCTGTTCCTGCTCGGGAGAGATAGAAGTGAGTAAGACAGGTAAGGTCCCTCCTCCAATGGGGCTTATTGTCTGATGCGCACCTACCTAATTGGCTCCTACAACTAAATGCATAGATGAAAAGGTAGATTCAGAAAGTGGTGACAGGAGATGAGTCTGTGGAGCTAAAGGAATAGCCTACTGAAGAGATTTTGCACAGAAACTCAAATAAAATGAAGGAATGAGATGTATGAAGATATCAGGGAGAGTTTCCCAGGAATAAACAGTAGAAATTGACAATGTGTAATATGGAAATGAGTGTGGATTGTTGGAGGAGAAACAAGGAAGCAATGTAGGAAAGGCAATGTAGGGAAAGGAAAGAGTGGAAGGAAATAAGGTCAGAGAAGTTGGAATGGAAAATTTACTCTTTATACATGTATGTTGTTCCTTGTCAAGAAACAGAGACCTATTTCTCTCCCCTTAAATTTAGGCTAAAGTCAATGACTTGCCTTATGTAGGGTCAGGAATGGACACAGTGCAGGTTTTCTAGGATCCAGCAGACCGGGTAAAGGAGGAGTCAGAGTCCTTAGTGGCTTTTTGTAGGTCTTTTTATTGGGGTTCACCAGGCATATTGCAGGCAGGGGTGCTGGGGGGCCGGGAGGCTGGCAGCCCTCCCAGCCCCCAGCAAATCCTCACTATCTGGGTTCTCCGGCCTTCTCTCAGCTTCTCTGCTCTTCTGTTCATTCTGCTGTTTCTCGGCTTCTGCATCGGATTCTACTGGCATCCCCGTGTTGCCGCCCTTAAAAGCCCCGTCTTAGCCCATGTGAATCCATCTACCTATGCCTACACCTTACTCCAGGTGCCCGCCATCAGGCATGCATTCAGGACTGCAAGGATCCATCATCTGTCCTGATGGCGGGAGGGCAGAAAAGCCTGACATTTTTTCCTTACCCTACACCTTACTTACACAGTGTGGCAGAAATAATGATCTGGGAGTTCAGCTGCTAGATTATTACATTCATTAGCTTTTACCTGGATCTACTGGAATGTTCTCTCTAAAATCCCAGACACCACACAATGGTAAACCTATGGTATGTGGAGGGGTCATATATAGGGCACCCCAGCTGACAGCTCCAGCTGAGCCCTCCTAACAGCTGATATCACTGCCAGCCATGAGGGAGCCATCACGATGCCCCCTTTTGACAAGACTTGAGTTGACTGTAGTCCCAGCCAATACCTGACAGCAATTGCCTGAGAATCTCCCCAGGTGAGCACAATCAATTTACAGAACTGTGGGAGGTAACAAATTGTTATTTTAAACCACTGGGTTTGAGGTGTTTTAGATTGCAACAATAGTTGATGAAACAGCTCCTTTTGCCAAAATGTTCACTATCTATTCTAACCATCCTGCTGATACCAAACCTAGTAAATCTAGGTATCACTGGCCCATCACTCCTTGTTTTTTTCTTTGCTATTTCCTAAATTTCAGATGGTTGTTTTTCTTCTTTTCCAAAATAGAAGCAGGTGCAGATCCTTCGCATACGCTTGGCTCAACTTCAGGAATAAGTGAGCCATTCAGTTCTGAACGTTCCAGAGTTGAACACAGTGGTTGCTTATAATAATCATGAAGAATGCCTGATCAGGCATTATCTTCTAGAGTCCCTCTGTCATTGCTCTCCCTCTCCTTACTTTCAGTTTCAGGCATCTTCTTTTCAGAATTTTATTCTTAACCAAGTAAATGAGGTTCAGCTTATTAACAGGCAGTTTGTGACTGCTTTATCAACTCACCACAATTCTGTAGATATGTACATTATCTCTAGGTTAGTTCAATACTCGGAACTATAAAACATAGGGCAGTTTACTGCTTAATTGATCATGTCAGGATGGTCCATGCCTGATGATTTAATTTGCTGTGAACATATTAATTATTGATATTAACACTTAATATTAGTACATTTCTTATTGTTTAACTCTCTGGCACCAAAAACTGTGGTTCTTTAATTTTATTATGAATGAACAAATCAATGAGCTTATAGATAAGCATGGTTATGACTAATGCTCTTTCTACATCCATAAATATGAATAAAGGCAGGATTCTGCAGAAAAGAACAAAAATAAAATAAAACTCTGACTTCCCATAACATTAAAATCTCTTTTGAGAAAGAGGAGAAAAATAGAACGGATATCCTGTGTAAGCTTCATGCCCATCAGTTCTGGGAAGGAAAAGACGGAGGCCAATCTCAAACTATGGAAAAGATTTTGACTTGGAGTTGCCATGACTTAGTTTAAGTAAACAATTAGCGCCAGTAGTCTGTTGGCTCAGCAGCTAATATGGAAGTCAGTTCTAATAAATTATTCTCTATGATCTTTCTAATTTTATACAAAGTAACTCTTCATTGTCTAAGTAGTTTTTTTTTAAAGGCTCTAAATTGCTATAAATTAACTTTCTATTTCCTGTTATAAAATGTGAGCATGAGGATAGTCTTGTGTCACCCATGAACTCAAGGGGAAAAAATCACTTTTGTCATATGACCTCCTTTATATGGGACATAAATGTAGCCTTTATATATAACTAATTGTAACCACAATGGAACTAATCATATTCTGATACCCAGTTAAATTGAGAAATTAGAAGAGTTCTTTTTATTTTAAGTCGTTGGAAACCTGGATGCAACCCAGAAATTACCCAGGAGAAATCTTCTTTTGAGAGTTTGGTTTTGGCAGAATTGAGTCTGTAGAGGAAGACTTCTGTGCTTAGCAGTACTCTGGTGATATTTCATGTGTTCTCTTGGAAAATATTGAAATTTCTTTTAAATTACTTTTCTTAATGATGAAAACCAACTGCAGTTAATGAATGTGGTAAATTTAAATAGCATCACATCGTCAGTCACAAATATCTCAATAGGAAAGGACTAAAACTAAACATATTACTATTAACTAAATGTAAAATGATCAACAAGGCTAGTCAAGTTACAAGTTTTTTATAGGACATATTAATCAATCTGAGATTGACCTCTATTATTGTGCTTTGTTAATCTGTTTTGTTTGACTGCAAGATACACCAACATATTTCGTTTTGAGTAACTGCTACTCTTACAAAGTGATCTATTTGGGAAGGAGGTGGCCAAATGGAGGAGTGAGGAAATACAGTTAACCTAATTACAATATATTTTTTTCTTTTATTAATTTGTAAAGATGTTGAAATGTCAGAAATTGTATCTTTTCCTTTATCAGGACAAAGTAAATAACTGTTAATTATTTTCAAAAACAATTATTTGGGTTAATTTTCATTTTTTAAAGTTTGAATCAATAGTATCCTATTCACACATCGGTAGCACACACCTAACACCTGCTAAACCTATTTTGATCAGACCATTAAAGCTTTGAGAAGGCTGGGTGGTGGGAACCAGCACTGGAAATGTAGGGACTGTTTCCCTGGGCCTTGGATTCATGTGAGTTGCTCTGCCTGCAATTCCCTTCCTGTATTTGACACATCAGGGAAGACCATCATCACCCCATCATCAGTGTCAGCTCAGAAGTTACATCCCCTGTGAAGCCTTCCCTGATATGTGAAGGTTTTCTGTTACTGGCCTTCCAGAGTTCTATTGCATAACTCTAAAACTGTGCTTATCTAATAATATTTATATGTCTTTTCTCCATTGTCATCTTCTTTCTATAATCAAAAGAGAAAAAATGGGGAGAAAGGCCATGCCTTCCCCCATATCATATATATGTGTTATATATGTCATACATATATGATATGTAGATCACATTATATTCTTCATTATATGTACAGATTGAGCACCTATCACCTGGTAAATGTAGACAATAACATTGTTTGGAGAAAAGTCAAAAGACTATCATTTAAACAAGCCAAATCTAGCTAACCTTAAGTATAAAAGCTCATTTAATCATGTTACTATTAAATCGTTTAACAATTCTGTAAGACAGTTTCCTGTTTTACATTTGAGAGAAACAAGGCAATAAGTGAGATCAAGTGCCCAAATTCACCCAAGTAGTGACCAGAAGAGTTAAGAGTTCAACTGATATATCCTGTCTCTCTCTAGCTCTGTGCTCTTAACCTTTAAACCTAACTCAATAGTATTTGACTCACATGCTTTTTCACTAGATTAGGAATTCTTTGAACACAGAAGCCATCTCTTAGCTTTCCTAGCAAACTTCCAACTCCACAGTACCTCTACAATGAACATGTGATTGGATAAGTCCTTTACTGAGCTCACAGCCCTTTTACCCCCACAAGGATTATAAGAGCAGGGGAAGCAAGAAAAAAGATCAAATTGAATGGTCAAATTAAAGACCATTAAGACTCTCCAATTATATAAGAGCTACATAGAGACTTTTGATTTCTACATTAAGCTAAATATTAGTAAAATGCCATGAAATGTAACAGTGATTTATATGCAGCACACTCTAGAAGCAGAGATGTGAGTTAGGGATGATTTGTTCTTGTGGTTTCTCGTAGCTATTTCTGGATTTCTTTGTGGCAAGGGACATTAGTTTCACCTCACGTGGTGTGGGAGCGGTGATGTGCCCAGTGATCAAAGTGCCAATGGTGCTCTGTGCTCAGAGGCCTCTGACTATCTCTCCTTCCTGTCAGTGTTCCCAGATGGCACAGACCAGCTCAACTGTAGCACAATCGGGTTTTCTGAGCTCTCGGCACGTGCCCAATCTTGAAGGTTTTTCCAGTTTCCAAATTTCAACCTCCCCCAAGCAGATACTCTATGCTTGTGGGGTTAGATAGACCTGGTTTTAAATTGCAGCTTTATTATTTACCATAAATGACTTGGGGCAATATGCTTGACTTCTGTAAACTGTAGTTACTTCATCTCCAAAATGGGATTTTATAAGCAATTCCACTTAATAGGGTCGTTATGAGGATTAAATGACAAATGTGTATCAAGTGTCAACCTCCAGAAGGCAATCAGCTAGTAAAACCACAGTCGGGGTTTATTTGGAAACAAAACAAAAGAAGAAATGGGCAGAAAGTGTGTTGCCGGTGACAGCCTCTTGCACTTCTGACTTCTTGGTCTTCATGCTCATACTCCTCATTCAATTCTGCAGGAAAAGGAAACAATAGGAGAGTGCAAGGTATAGTGGAGTCCCTGATTTTCTATGCTTAGCATGCTCTAGCCTTCCGACCACATTTTTGTAGGGTTCTCAACATTAATATCGGTACAAGCATTACAGTGTAAGGTGATGTATCTTATTAAGCTGGGTCCAGGACACAATTTCAGGTTGTCTGATCCTAGAGCCTGACCTTCTAGCCCTTAACTTCTCAATAATATAACATGCTCAACCCGCTCACATATCTTCCTTCTTTAACTTTTTGACTTCTTAATCTCTGCCCTTTCACTACTGAAAGTCATGCAAATATTGTTTATTCTCATTGCTTTTCATTGGGAATCTTTTATTCTCATCTCAAAATCCAATGAGCCCTGCCTTCTGTCACTACCCCACCTTAGCAGTTACTCTCTAGATGGTGCTAATTGTCTTTATAGCTCACATATCAGCAACTACTTTACCACGAAGTAACTTTCAAAAGCTTTGAGTTTATTTGTTGCTCATCTAACAGTGCTGAGCGGTTTTGGATTTAGCAGGGAGTCTCTGTTCCACATAGACATTTAGAAACCTAAGCAGGGCCTCCCTGGTGGCACAAGGGGTTAAAACACAACCCATGAGGCTATCCACAGCCACTGCAGTGCGAGTTCCATCCCTGACCAGGGAGCTACCCACATGGCATAGCAGACCTCTCCTGTCTCGCCCGCTGCTCCCCTCAGCACTGTATTTCACTCAGTCTGCCTGTTCTGCTCCCCACTCTGTCTCTGGTGAATCCTCTCACCCCCCACACCTCTGGCCTGTACCCCAGTTCTTGTATGCATAAATAAATAAATCTTAAAAAAATTAGAAACCTAAGCAAGTAGGGAATTTCTTTCATCACTTGGGGATTCCACTTGGAAGTCATCATTTGGTCAAGTAAAACAAAAGAGTTTGGAAGAGTTTAATGGACTGGATCCCAAGGAGGCACTCATCAGTTCCCCTTTCTACATGTCATTCTTATAACCTATAGACAAACTGTGAGGCCAAACAGGAGAGGAGATTGTGGACTTTCCTAAGCAGCAGAAAATCTTTGCTATCCTTATTAAAGAATGTGAAACTATTATGATCTTTAAATTTCTCCTGTGTCAGGTCAGTGTACATTTTCCTTTCTTGTACCATTTTTCTACTTTCCCATCACATGGTATTTACCAGACAATGGAGTCTCTCTCAAAGTCCCTTCTTTCACACCAAAACCCTTTATGACAAAACACTGTATCCGCTCTTTGGCTAAACATTCTCTCATCTTTCCCCTCCAAAAAAGGAGGCCAAAACTTCTCAGTGAACTTTTTCTCCTTGAGATCATTTAACATCAAATCATAGAAGGTGGGTGCAGGAAAAGGGCCTAACAATGCTTAGCCCAAAGTTTTCTTTATATGGAAGACAATGCTATGCCCTAAGTTGAAAAAGAAATGTCCACAACTGAGTCATGGGTAGATACCAAATCTACGGATTCTTTTACCTCCTGCTATCTCCTCTTGATGCAAGGTCAACCCTATGGGACAATTTTAGTCATCAATATTTTACAGAATTTCTACAAGTAACCCAAAGTGTGTATTAAAAATGTTAACATTTAGGACTTATAAAAATAATGCCAATAAGGTCTCCTTTGTACAAACTGACAGATTAAATGTATTTTTTCTTAGTTCTGCTTCATGATGCTGTAAGTTTTGAAAATCACTTAGTTCTTTGGTAGTGATTACTCAAATGTCAGTGAGAATGAATATGTATATATTAATTCTTGGCAATTAAGTCTGGTGATAATTGTTTTTGTGCATTAGTCATAATCACTTTTTAAGCAGCAAAGCCTATTACTGTTACAGAGTGAGATTCAGATGCCTTGCAGATTTGAGTAATTTGGGGTAATGCAGCTGTGTGTGGTAAAAAGATTTTACAATGCCTATAAAATGTTGCCTCATGACATGTTCAGCAGTGAATCTGTGAAATCATATAGCAATTTCAGTGCTTTCATTAAATACCAGATACCATTTACATTGTGCAGTTTTTAAACAAGAGCTATCCTCTGAGATTAGTAGGGTCTGCAATTGCAAAGCATTTCGCAGTTCTGGACTAGGTAGAAGGGTCTTATGGAATTGTTTCTGGAAACAAACACAAACATGACAAACAAACAGAAACCAGCACACATGAGGGAAATGCATTTGATCTACATTGACCTTAGCTGCATATAGGAGTGTTAACTCTTCTTCCTGCTCTCATCTTCCCACAAAGGATCAGAAGATTTGACTTGCAGCAAATAGTTTGTGGAAAATACACTTTCTCATGAGAGTAGAAGAAGAAGAGAATAGGGGGTTCTATAATAGTGGATTGTATAATGTGTCTTTTTGCAATTTTGAATCATTTTTGACTTTACATTTTTTGTTGTTATTTTTGTTGCAGGTAAGATAACAGATATAACTACTAAGTCAATCATTTATTCAAGTAATTTACGTAGTTATTTAGGTGTATATGAGAAAATAGGATGAATTTTTAAAAAATTAAAGGCCCAACTGATCATTTTTACTTGAATGTTCTAGCATCTTCTGAACTCAACCCATTCAACTCTAAAGTCACTATTTTTTTAATCTAAATTAGCTTTTATCCCTAACTAAAGGAAATCACTGTATTTTAATTAGTGAATCCTTTGTATAAGGAAACAAAGCCCTCTATAGGTATTTACTTTTTAGTAGAGTTATTCTTTTATATATGTAATGGTCTAAGATACACAGAAAATAAGATTTTGGATTCATTATCATTACAGTCTCTGAGTTATGTCAAACATCTTTTCTGGAAGACTACTAATTTCTCAATATCTGCTTTCTTCAGTCTATCTCTCCTGTTCCATTCATTATTCTTTCCCGTATTGTTCCTATTTCTCCAACACTAACAGAACTTTTGATCAGTTGGCTTGTGGGACAACATAAATTGTTACCAAAGCAAGTGTAGTGTATTTTCACATCAACTTGGACTGGGTGAATACAACATTATTTCCTTTTTTTGTAATGAGTAGAAATTTTTACTCTACCAGCTTTTATGATTCTCTTATGAGCAAGAGAAAATATTTTTTCTGGGTGCTCAAGGCATTTGGCCTTCAGAATAATCACACACACATACTGAAATACTATATTAAGCCTTTATCCTGCCATTTACAACAACATAGATAAACCCAAAGGGCATTAAATACAGTGGTGTCATCACAACTAGGTCACAGACTCTTGGAATTCGGAGCCTGTATATTCAGTCTCAGTTGCTCAGCTGTGATGATGACTGACTGAACCATGAGTTCAAGCCCAAGTCCTGATGCTGACCAGCTGTGCAACCCAGCAAAATCTAAACAACTTTTCAATTGAGTTCCTTCTTCAGTAACTTAATATGTGCATAAGGCCCAACTTACAGAGTTGTATTGGAATTGAAGAGAAAATAGAATTTATTTGCAAGACACATAAGTGGAAACCTCACACAAATGAAAATAATTAGTATTACTCTCCACATGTCCTAGTTTAGCACGATAAATATTAATAGTTTAGTTTACTGGTAGATTTTTAAGCAAGTCTCCCAAGTGCACTAAGACCCTAGAACACTTAGTTCTTATTGTTTACTCTTACACTTTGGGGCTAAGCCTCTGAAACCAGCCCTTATGCTTTCTGAACAATGTGTTCCCTCAACACAAACACAGAACCGCAGCCACCCTTATTCCTGATGTCGCTCTCTGCAAGTATTTCCTGTTTGTCTCCTGAAGTCACAATATTGTGACTTAGTCTGGGGCCTCAGTTAGTTGCAAGATATATTAGAAAAAGGCATGGGACTTCATTGCTTTGGGCCAAAATTTACTGAAGCAACATGCAGGTATCTGCAAGCATGTGTCTCTGTGTCACGTTGTGATGGACCTGGAGATGCACAGATGGCTGGAAACCACAATCCCTGTCCTCAGAGCGTGTCCATCCTGGTGAGGGGTATTGCAGACAAATGATGAAAAACAAGATGTTCTGCCTGGACTTCTGAGGCCTATTTCTGTTATTTCCTGTGTGTACCCGTGTATGTTCCTTTACTTCTCTGAATCTAAATTTCTTTAACTCCTAAATGTGGTTACTTCAAAGAGTTATTTTGAAATTTAAGTACACTAATATGGTAGAAACAGCATAGATATTAACTGCCCACTTCTTTTCCTTCTTATTTAATTTCATGTACTTTAAGCCCCAGCTACACAAACAGAAGACTACCCCAGGCTGGAGGTGAAAGGTGACCAGCAATGGCAGAGACCATCCTACTAACGGGCACAGCTTTATACTCTGTTCATGAGCACCCCGGAAAGATTTTATCTGCTGGTTCCTGACTGAATAGACTGTGTCAGGGGTTTTACACTCATTATCTTTTGTCCTTATGCCCTTATGTCAATCCCAATGTGCAGATAGTATCCACATTTGCTCAGTGACAAAACAGAGACTTGACGAGTTTTAGCTTGGTTACGGAGGTGGAGGCAGACTGTTTGATCACAATCACAGCTGTGCCTTATTTTCTATGGAGCTAGTTTTCTGTCTTTCCTTGGTCTGACTTTCTTCATCTGTAACATGGAAATAATGATAGTCCTTCCATCCAATGATATCCTTCCATTTATTTCTTGATTTATTGTTGTTGAACAGTAACACTATACCAGAAGTTACCAGATAAGACCTTGTCTCTGCTAAACTTTCATTTTGTGAAGAAGGCAGATGATAAATACATGAAAATAGTTGAAAACATTTTAAAGAGGGACAGTGATGTGAAGGAAAAAAAATTGAGATGAAAATCTCTGAGCATTTACAAAGGTGATATTTGAGCTGAGAAGCTAGCAGTTCAAACATCCCAAGAAAGAGTTTCTAGGTCTGAGTTGAAGACAGATAAGTTAATACATGCAAAGTCCTTATTATTACTTGATTAAGTAACCAAAAGCAGAGTTTAGAACTAAATCCAGATGTCTCTGGCTC